ATATATATATATATATATATACACTGTAATGCAATTACTTTCTTACTGAGCAGTGACATATTTGATGTTGTAGGCTACAGGACCTTCCATTGTGAATCCAAGATAGAAGGATATTTGTTCCCGACTGCATCCGCTGCGGATGTCTCCCAGATAAGCTGGACGGACAGGAATTTTTAGGTTGCCTTCAAAGTTCACATATATTTCTCCATTTTCAGAAATTCCCTTCACCCTTAACAGCTCTTTTTCCACCTGTGGTTCATTCCAAGCAGCTCCGCTCTGCCAAAGTTGGTGCTGTGTACGGGGTTGACCATTCTGATCACTGCAAGACTCTTGCCTTAAGACTTGATCAAGCTTCACTTTAGAGACTATTCTCTTCAGTCCAGTGGATTTGCCAAGAAAGAAATGAGCTAAGGCAGACCTGGCTGGGAACATGTGAGAAAAACGTCTGTGGAATGATTTCTTGGCTGATCTGAAATATGTGGCGATATCTTTGTATGCTGAAAAGCTATCCAGTTTTCTATCCTTAGTAGGCCACATGAGAAGCATGGACAGGTAGTACATCTCTGTTGAATTTGAGTGAGTACCCTCATTTTGTAGTTCCTCATTCAGAAGGTGAACCAACTCCTCATATTTTGTCAGTTCCTTTGAAGATGGCTTGATGCTGTGCATCACTATGTTTGCCAAGATGAAGTTGACTGTGTCTGATGCTGATCTTTTAGGTGATTTCTCAAAGATAAACTTCCACTTTTTGATGATGTGTTCCATTTCTGCACCACTTTTATCACTCAAACACTGCAACAGTCCAGCAAATGAGTCTGCTCGCTTTGTTTCCAGGTAAAACCTCTGGTCCTGTATCTCCTGGGGTAGACTCAGATTTGGGTTTCTGGCTTTTTCAGATGCTTTCTCTTGCTCTGAACTATTGAATATTTTCAAGTATTTTCTGAAATGCTCTGACAACTTCTTTTTGTGTCTCTCATCAGCTATCACCCTTTCCTGTGACCTAGGTCTCAGGTATGTGAAATAGTTCTCAAAAAAGCTGAAAATTTCCTTTAGTCTTGGCTTTAAAGAAATCAAAAATCTCTCATGGTGTGACAGGACACCCACAAACTGGGCAGTGGCAGCGTTGCTGTGATCAAAATGAAAATCTTTTATTGTGTGGTGGCCTTTGAGAATCTGTAACAGTTTATCTGTTTGGTATCTGTCTCTGCTCTGAGAAAGAGGAAGTCCTTTGATGAGATCAAGAAGGATCATCATAACTTCTGTCTCTCCGACATAACCTGATGTGTTGTAGGACTTTGGCCTCTTTCTGTTGTGGAGATCAAATGGGTCTATAGTTTCATCTTTCTTGGCCAGCACCTGTGACTCTTGGAAGGCTTTTACAGCTTTGGAGCCCAGTATCAAGCATTCATCAAGAGCTTCAGCAGTGAGAGGCTCTGAATCTTCAATTTTCTTTTTGAGCTGGCTCTTGTAAACTTGTCCTACTGTGTCTGCAATGTAGGAATTTGAATTTTTACCTTGTGCATCTAAAGCCCATTTTAGGGCAGCCTGGAAGTCTTTTTCTCTCAGACAGAAATATCTTGCCAGTGCCTGTGGCAGAGTTGCACTTCTGTCAAACCTTCCTATGGCTTTCTCAAAAAGCTCTTTGACTTTTTCTGGTCCTTCCTTGTCATGTATTTTTTCAATTAAAGGAGAAAACTGTGTATCTTTGTCATCCCCTTGTTCTTTCCTGTGTCGGGAAATGAGCATGCTTTGAATGTTTTGAACCAGGAAATCCTTTCCCATGCAAGATTTATAGAGTTTGTCACAGTGTAAAATGTCAATAACTATCTCTGCTAAGGATAGTTTGTGTTTTTGTTCAAGGATCTGTAGACAGTTGCTGGCAATCATTGGGTGCAAGAACCGCACCGCTTGATAGAAGCCATGCTCTTCAACACTGAATGTTATCAGCAGTGTGGAATATGGATTCAATACATCATCAAGTGTCTCTCGTTTCCAAAGGGAATTCCTTATACCAAGTAGCTCTTCACACAAAGAGAGAGACATGTAGGATCCATTCACAAATGTGTTCAACAAAGCCAGAAAGGAGAGAAGCCTCCCTTGTCGACCGGTGGCATTAAGATCTTTAAAACTGTTGCTCACAATGTTTGTGATGTAAGCCTCACTGAAATTATTTGTCATGATCATAAAAGCGTAAAAGGTTTCAGGCTTTTCATGGTAAGTTTTCAGCTGCTGAAGTTTCTCAGAAAACAATCCCTGCTCTTTGGTAGACAACTTGTTGGTTATGAATATATTAGGAAGGTTGCTATTTCTGGAACTCTCATCGGGAAACTGCGTTCTCTCACAGTTCAATATGATAACCATGAGAGCGTTCTGCTGCCTCCTTTCACCAGCAACATGAAGGATGCACTGCTTAAGGTCCTCAACATCCTCCCAGTTGTCCACTAAGAGGATGACAGGTGTGTATCCTGGCTGATCCTGTTTTCCATAAGTGAGCAGGTTTATGACTTGAACTGCAATGTTGTTATTTGTTGCCCTGTTGTTTTTTACAACTGCACATCTGAATTTCTTCCTTAAGTCCCAAAGAACATGCATTGCAAGGGTCGTTCCCCCGCATCCTGGGGGATGGAAGAGGTTGATCATGACACATGAAGATGTGTAGCCTTCGACAGGTGTAATCAGATCATACAACTCATTGTATTTGTCTCTCTTGATAAACGGCAGACTGCCTCTCTGTTCAGAGAGGTGAAAGTTCCACCATGTTACCTGCCCCCCTCTATAGAAGTCCTCCTCTGTTTTCTTATTAAACTCATCAAAGGAATCAGACTTTTCAATTTCTGTGTTTTCACACTCATTTTCACTCAAAATGTCCAAAACTGTGAAAAGTTCCTCATCTTTTTTTGTCAACAGCACTGAGCTGGAGCCTGTGGATGGCAGGTATCTCTGGGATGATTGTGTTTGAGGCTCTTTGAGTTGCTTTACTGTACTGGATATTTCATTCAGGCTCAGTTGATAGATGCATTTATTGGAGATGTCTTCCTTACAACGTAACTCTATCAGTCGTTTCCATTGACTGAATACTCCAGAATCCCTGCAAATGCACAGCATGTTGTCAGCCCCCTCTAGGGTGCGATAGATTGCACAAAATGTCTCTAAAATGGGGTGCGACATATCAGTGACAGCTGAATGAAGCATAAAAATGACCAGAAGTCTGTGTTTTGAAATTACATCTGGACTGCAAAGCAAACCAGTCATTTTGCTGATGTCGCCTGAACGTCTCTTGAGCCATTCACTGGGTGTTAGTGGCATGTCTTCTTCGCTCTCCTCATTCAGTCGCCCATTGCAGAAAATCCAACTCGTTTGCTTAAACAAGTTAAGCTTTCCCATGAGTGTGGGTAAACTATCCTGAGTGGTGTAAAAATGTGGATAGTGTAGATTAGCAACACGATCTCTTCTGTAAAAATGGCATGTTCCATTTATATCAGACTCTGGGTCAAACTCTAGTACAGCAAACAGAGATATTTCTTTTAGAAAGTCCATGTGCTCCAGCTGGCCTGGGTGACATTTGTCAGTAACCACAACAACCTGAAGGGAACTCTCAAGAACATGTCTTCCACGTGTCATCAGCTGCTTTAGCCTTTGTCCCTGGTGGTTTTGTGGGAAACGTCTTTCTTTGTTTTCCTCTGCTGCCTTGCGTGCTGACACCAAGTTCTTGACTTTTTCAGTCAGATCTTTCAGTTTCTCTTGACCAACTCGTGGATTAGTATCTGCTAAAATGTTGACTGACCGTGGACCTTCCCTAACAAATAGGCACTGAGTTTTGCACTGATGTTTCTCTTCAGTTGATGTAATCCCCAGTTCAGTAAAGAAAAGATAATCCTGTGTCTGTGAAATCACTGGAATCACATCAACCTCGATCACCCACTTGTCTGAAGATGTTCCATTTTCATGGAGGACTGGTATAAAGTTTGGTGGTCTGATACACAGTCGGGCAACATTCACATACTTTTCTTCAAAGAAATCCCCCAGAGATGATTCAAATACCTCATTGTACTTGTTGAAAGAGGAGATCTTCTGCCCAACTACTTGACCATGTTGTTGCTCTTGTTGTCCTTTGACTCCAAAATGTATTGTTCCATTGGTTCGTGAATTCATGCAGCTGGCAGCAAAACTAAATGCTTCTCTAGTGAATTCATAAAGGATCTCCCTTTCACTTGCTTCATTCACATTTGGCAGGAGGTGATACTCATGAACAGGGTCAATGAGATTACTTGGACTTGCCATTGGTGGAAGAATGTCATTTTCCGTGTAGAAGATTAAGGAGTTACATTTATCAAAGGACCGAATCTCACTTACTGGCCTCTGTCGTTGTGAAGCTTCTAAGTTATCAGGAGTATGAATAACAAATTGTCTTTCAGCTGTATTCTGATCCATCACAGCTCTTATTCTGTCTCTTGCCATCTGTACTGAAGAACTTAGACTTTGGATTCCTGAATCTGATGACACAGTCTCATTTTCTGCTGATTCATCCAGCTTTTGTGACATCTCTGCATTGTCCCTTGGGTTGAGTTCACTCTCTGCTGCTGGAGTGACTGGTACAAATGTTTCTGATTGATTCTTAAACTTCTTAACCTGCCTTAAGATTTGTATTGCTGGTGCGGGTGGAACACCAAGTTCAAGCAAGTCTTCTTTCTCAAAAGAAGCCAGGCAAGCTCCAGAAAGCTCCTGGTCATAAAGTTTTTGTGCAAGTTC